TTATTGTTAAAATCTCTATAAAATATCTGATAATTTGATGTGCATATGTCTAATGATCATTTTTGACCGCCAAATGGCTCATTTTTTTACTTTTTCCTCGATATCTCCGAAACCGCTAGACCTACCTCTATGAAAATTTTATCAACTCTTTATCATCTTGCCAATACAAGTAAAATGTTTTTTGAATTATTCAAATCGGATGCTCCGTTCTCTTAAAACCTGAGTTACCGTTTTCGGCACTTTCTGCCCCGTATCTTCGGAACGGCTAGACCTAACTTCGCCAAAAACTAATCAGCACGTCTCCTTATCAGTACGAATCGAATGTTTTTTGAATTATTCAAATCGGTTGATCCGTGTTCCCGAAATCGTCGACGAAATTTGTATCCGCACATACATACACACACATACATACACACACACACACACACACACACACATACATCCATTTTTTCTAAGGTATGCCAAAATGTTCAGAAACCTCTGAAACGTAAAGATATATTATAAAAAATTTCATTTTCGATTTTTTTGCGATTACTATAACTTACCCTACTGGAAGTTAAAAACATCGCAAGGCGTCCATGGCACAAATAAGTATGGGAACCTATGATCCAAATTGATACATTTCTCATTTGGCATTTCTCTAATAAATATGAAATATTTTTGATTTAATGCAGTAATCAAGGAGAAGAACAGTTTCCACATTATATGTATGATAAACATAGATCTAAATTTTTAATGAAAGGCTGTTCAAGATGGACGTCGAAAGAATAAAATATAATACTTAATAACCATAGGCGGAATAGTAATAACTCTAGTACTTCATTAATTTCATTATATAACTCATAAATATTTAAAAATATGCTTTGACAAATAAGGTAAATAGAACTAGGTTTATATGTGAAATATAAGGGCAAGTCCGCGGTTTTTTTTAAAAAAAAGATGTCTGAAGTTATTTTAAATATCTATATCTATTTAAATATGAATGTGAAATTGTTGTGTTCCGTTGAATTACTTGAATAGCGGATCCAAGGTTGCAAAAGAAAATACATCACACTTAATTAAATAGTGAATTATAATCAAATAACATCACTAAAATATGTAGATAATTTTGATATATCTTAAACTCGAACAAAGTATGGTAGGTACCTGTAACAGTTCAACGAGATCATATTGGATGTCGCTAACAGTCTCGTTTTGAGTACAATTTTCTATATTCAGCGGTTTCTTGGCTGTTTTTCCAAAGTCCTCTAAAAATAAAAAGAAATATTAATATAAATTAAACTAAATTCGTAATACATTTTTTTTATAACTTATTAATTATTTATTTCCCGTAAGGCAAGTTTTAGTAAATATAGTAAAATAATATAATAAAAAAATAGAAAATGAAAATTTTTATATATCTTTACGTTTCACAACCTTATGAACATTTTGGCATACCTTAGAAAAAATGGATGTATGTGTGTGTGTGCGTGTATGTATGTGTGTGCGAATACAAATTTTCGTCGACGATTTCGGGAACACGGATGATGCGATTTGAGTAATTAAAAAACATTCGATTCGTATTTATAAGAAGACGTGCTGATTAGTTAGGTCTAGCCGTTCCGAAAATATTGGGCAAAAAGTGCTAAAAACGGTAACTCAGTTTTTAAGAGAACGGAGCGTCCGATTTGAATAATTGAAGAAACATTTTACTTGTATTAACAAGAAGAAGAACTGATAAAGTTTTCATGAAGGCAGGTCTAGCGGTTTCGGAGATCTGGTAAAAAAGTAAAAAAAATATGATCATTAGACATACGCACATCAAATTAACAGATATTTAATAGAGATTTAGAATAAGTATAAGTACATTCCTATGGATTCTGTACCAATGTTTATCCGTTAGATGAAGACGCGGCGCTTACTCGTTTCGATATTTCGACTCTATGCAGTTAAAGCAGTACAATTGCTTTGAAAAAAAGTTCAGAATTTCCAAAATATTTCAAAATAAATTTTTCTTCAAAAAGTCTTTTTTTTTTCAAAAAAAAAGTAAATTTTTGTCAAAAATTATAGTTTCTCAAAAATCTAATTTTTCAGAGTAATTTTTTTCATAAATGTTAATCTTTCTTAAAAAAATTTTTTTGCTACGGGAAGTACCAGCAATTTGCCTTAAGGCGCGATGTCATGCGCCCCACGCCCACTAGTTATACTTATGACATAATAGACATGTATTTACATTTATGCAGCTATAAAACGTTCAGGTTATTAATGGATTCGTTGGATAAATGGGATTCTTAAAGAAAATTTTATGGACCAATTCTCGGATAAAATAGGCATGTTACAATAATGCGATGTTACAGGTCTCTATTCGTATGAGTTGGTACTAATGAACACTTAAATACTTAAACCTAACTTCGCGCATGTGTATCAGTAAGATCTCAAAAAGAAGCACTTGCGATAAAATTAGTTATGTTATAAGAAAGTCATGTTATAAGATAGTCATGTTATAAGATAGTCAAGTTATTTATCGTAAGAAGCACTTACGATCAAAATATTTTAAGCGTTTTGCGTTTTGTGAGTAAGATTTTGTGCGTTTTGTGAGAAAATACATAGCAAATATTTTATCCGAGAATTTGTTCCTTATATTTTTCATAATTTTAATAGTATTCTGTCGCATTTGACAATAAGACCTAAAATAAAGTTTATTATAAATATAAAACATTATCTATTACTTTTTTATGCCATTTTGCTTTTGTAACCAGTAATTTGACTTGAACTTCAGATTTTAAAAAAGAGACTCAGAAGCTATTGTAAGCTCAATTAATAAATTTAATATATTAAATGGATATTAATTGATTGCGAACTAAATACAAGCTTATGAAAGTTAATATTATCTTTTTATTTCATTCATAGAGATTTTTTGATCTTTTCGAAGGGTTTTTACGCTGTTTTTTATAAAAATAGCAAGACTAGTTGTAAGTAGCATTTTGCCTTATGTGAAGCATTAACCTCCCGATAGGTATTTAGGTGAAAGTACAACTGTTATTACGAAAATAACATATTTACTTTCTCTAACAAATTTTTGAACTGTATATTCGATCTGTAATTGTATAATTTGTTTAAACACATTTCATTTCAACTATTTCGTGTTATAAAAATGCATTTTATTGAAGTGTGGACATCAACTATAATCAGTAGATACCTACGAAACACCACACGACATAAAATATTCTTCGGCATAGATTCTGATTAGAATCGCTCAAGCATACGGCGAAATTCTAAACGTTGATGATTTTTTATAATTCAACCGTTTGCGTAGACTTATAAATATTTTAACTATTATATAGTATAGTATATTTTTTCAGACTACAAAGTCAATCCTTATACAAAAGTTTCATTAAAAACTTTTCATTTTTTTTAATTTTTTTTAAATTTAATTACGAAGAAACAGTATGGCCGAACCTTACAAAATCAAGCAATTCCCAAAAAAATATCGTTGGTACAGTTTTGATTTTTAAAATCACTTAAAAATTGTGGGCTGAATCGTGAATGAAAACTTTTACATTATTTTGCTAATTACAAGAAACGCTTCAGCCGAACGTCGCACAAAACTAAATAAATATTTCAGCTTAGATCACCTTTAAAACAAAAACTTAACTACTTTGTAAATTTTAAATAGCGAAAAATTGCTTTTTTAATCACAGGTATAGTGTAAACCTGCGATTTAAACAAAATTAGTAGTTGCGGGATGATAAGGGCTGACATTTTTTGATGATTTATGGCTTTCGGTATATCATGTTGGCGAGGTGGCCTCATAGGATTAGTATGAGTGATTAATAGAGTTAAATCTTTCCAAAATCTCGCACACTATAATTTTATAGAAGTTTTAATACACAAAGATTCAAACACGTCCTCGAGGCGATATACGACGCAAAAATATCTCGTAATTAAAATCTGAGTGAAAAATAGTGCAAAAAACGTTGGACCGCTTGAAAACTTCGCATCACAATTAAAGAAATTTTCAAAATTATAATTGCATTCGGGTTAGGCTTTGAAGCGAATGATAATAATTAAATACTGCGATGAACAAAATGCAAAGACCGTTTATTAAACAACAATTAAATCTAATTTGGAGTTTATTTTCACGTTGCAAAAATGTACATTTAACACAAGAAACCATTCATTCTATCCATACATCCATTTTAAGTAGTTATAAGAATTGTATACATGCATAAAACTTAACTTAAAACAATTTTTAAGCGATTTTTTTAAGTTTTTGCTGTTTCTTCATAATAAAATTTACGATTCTCATAAAAGGTTATATTAACCATAACGAGAGATTTTTTAGCCTGAAATAATATACTATAATAGTATAAATATTATTTTGAAATAAGTTATACATTTTACCTAAATACATTTTTTTATACATACATTTCATTATACTTTTCTTAAAGCAAAAATGATCAGTAAAGAAAAGGTAATTGCATAAACTTGATTACAAAATTTTGAATAATCGTTACCATATTTTGGTTTACCCATTATTGAATTAAAAAATAAAACTCTTAAAATTATATTCAATTGCAAGAAGTGTATAGTTGTAAGATGTAATAAGGTGAAGTGTTAAGTGAAATTTGGTGAATTATTTGTTATTTAATATGATTCAATATATTTTTGTATTTTTTCAAGTGTTTTCTTCACAGGCTGATTATTGAAAACAAAACAACAATTCTTCTAATTTCAAGGCCATTTCATAGTTAGAGGAAAGGTTCATAACTATATTATCACTTAAGTAAATGTTTCAGAATATTTATTTTACTAGTTTAGCAGAAAATCTGATAGAAACGCATAAAAATCTATATTTGACCGATAATATACTCTAGTAGTTAAAGTTCACTTTGCTGAATAATTTCTTTGAAAGTTTGATGACTAATCTTGGATATAAAATATCCAAAAGATTTAATTTAATTTAATCCAAAAGATTTAATATCAAAATAAATAATTTCGGCAAACGGCACCTTATTTGATCATAAAAATTCTAACAAAAAAATTATAACAAAATGTTAGTATTTTATTATATTACCTTGATTATAAAATGCTTGATTGGCAGATTTAGTTCGAATTCCATTCCTCTTGGGTTTCGAAACACAAACAGGGATGTCGGCAGATGAGTCATGCTGAGTAAGCTATGAGAAATAAAATAACAAAATTCAATTTTTAATCGATTTAATTTCTAAATGATTACTTATATGCCTATATATTAGTAACAAAATTTCATTGAAATCGCCAAAAAGTTTTAACAATTTACGAGTTAATTGTGAATGACGAGTATTTTTGTCATAGAAAAGTGGTAGAACTTTGTGTGTTGACGAGCATATTTGTTGTGCGTATAAATCTTAGACCTATTTAAATATAACTTCAAAAATTTAACAATATAAAAAAGTCTTTCATAGAGGTTCAGGGCTACTTATTCATTATATTGCTTGAAAAAGAGTAGTTATGAATCTGAATAATTAATAAAACATTCAATTTGTATTATTGTATTCAATTTGTCACACAACTAAATTTTTAATGTTTATAGTAAATATTAAATATTAACTAGTTGGTTTGGTATTTAGCCTTGAGGCAAGTTACATGAACTTCCCGAAATGTGTAAATAATCGACTTAATAAAAAAAATGTGTAAATAATATACTTCATTAATCCTACTTTAAAAAAAACGATAATAATTTTAGCAAACTTTGACGAATTTTTAAAATTAAACTACTTGTCGTTAGGCCGTAATATTACAGTAAGTTCTATAAGACCATGATGTATATCGCCAAAAAAATTTACATAAAAATCGGCTTAAATTATTTTTTCAACTAATATTACAAGAAAACGGCTCGGTAGATTTTCACCTAAAATTAATCAGTACCATTCCCAACTAATATCTTTCGAACAGTTTTTGATATTTTAAAATCGGTTCGGTAGGATGAGCTTAAATGTCGACGAAAATTTAACACTTTTTTTCAACAGTTAATTACAAGAAAACGGCTCGGTAGATTTTCACCTAAAATTAATCAGTAGCATTCCAACTAATATCTTTCGAACAGTTTTTGATATTTTAAAATCGGTTCGGTAGGATGAGCTTAAATGTCGACGAAAATTTAACACTTTTTTTCAACAGTTAATTACAATAAAACGGCTCGGTAGATTTTCACCTAAAATTAATCAGTACCATTCCCAACTAATATCTTTCGAACAGTTTTTGATATTTTAAAATCGGTTCGGTAGGATGAGCTTAAATGTCGACGAAAATTTAACACTTTTTTTCAACAGTTAATTACAAGAAAACGGCTCGGTAGATTTTCACCTAAAATTAATCAGTATCATTCCCAACTAATATCTTTCGAACAGTTTTTGATATTTTAAAATCGGTTCGGTAGGATGAGCTTAAATGTCGACGAAAATTTAACACTTTTTTTCAACAGTTAATTACAAGAAAACGGCTCGGTAGATTTTCACCTAAAATTAATCAGTACCATTCCCAACTAATATCTTTCGAACAGTTTTTGATATTTTAAAATCGGTTCGGTAGGATGAGCTTAAATGTCGACGAAAATTTAACACTTTTTTTTCAACAGTTAATTACAAGAAAACGGCTCGGTAGATTTTCACCTAAAATTAATCAGTATCATTCCCAACTAATATCTTTCGAACAGTTTTTGATATTTTAAAATCGGTTCGGTAGGATGAGCTTAAATGTCGACGAAAATTTAACACTTTTTTCAACAGTTAATTACAAGAAAACGGCTCGGTAGATTTTCACCTAAAATTAATCAGTACCATTCCCAACTAATATCTTTCGAACAGTTTTTGATATTTTAAAATCGGTTCGGTAGGATGAGCTTAAATGTCGACGAAAATTTAACACTTTTTTTCAACAGTTAATTACAAGAAAACGGCTCGGTAGATTTTCACCTAAAATTAATCAGTACCATTCCCAACTAATATCTTTCGAACAGTTTTTGATTTTTAAAATCGTTCGGTAGGATGAGCTTAAATGTGGACGAAAAGTTTTTTTCAAATTACAAAGAAACGGCTTGGCAGATCGTTGCACAAAACTGACAAACGATAGTCCTCACCGAAATACATCAAATGGCTTTTAAATTTCTAAAATCGGTTCAGGCGTTTTTGAGAAAACGTCGATCAAAAGTCTAATTTTGACAAATGCCAAAAAGACCATACTGATTTTTGCAAACTTTGACGAATTTTTAAAGCTGAACCAGTTGTCGTAGGGCCGTAATATTTTAGTATGATCTAGAAGACTATGGTATCTATCGTCAAAAAAATAATCATAAAAATCGTCGAATTTTTTTTTTTAAAAACTTTATTACAAGAAAACGGCTCGGCCGATCTCTACCAAAAACTAATCAGCACGATTCCCAACCAATATCTTTCGAACGGTTTTTGAATTTTCAAAATCGATTCAGAATTGCGGGCTAAAACGTAGACGAAAAATTTTTCACTTTTCTGCCATTTATGAAGAAACGGCTTGGCCGATCGTCGCACAAAACTGACAAACAATAGTTCTCGTCGAGATACATCGAATGGCTTTTAAATTTTTGAAATCGACCCAGCCGTTTTCGAGAAAACGTCGATTTACGGCAAAAAATCTGTTCACATACACACACACACACACACACACACACACACACATACTTTTTCCAAATTTGGTCTCATTCGATTCAGAATGGCTTGAAACGTCGAGAAAACATAAAATTAGCGAATCGGGTTTTTTGATGAAAACATAAACTTCTCCTTCGGGAAGTTAAAAAATGCTACTTTGAAACTCTAAACTTTTAAGCATTTATAAATCCATTTTGGAAATTAAAAATCATTTTAAAATAGTACAAAAAATATCAAACCTTAGAATAATATATTCAAGTTCAAATCGTATATGTACTTTTCTCGTTTATATTACCCAAAGCTCCATATCAGAAACATGAAATGTATAATTCAAAATATATCCTGAAAAATAATTAGTGAAAGAATTATTTCACGATGTTTGCAATTATGAGCTTTTAGGTTCAATCTAGAGCTTTGGAAAAATAATGACCATTTTTCGGTTATTGTGGTTAAATTTTATCAATTTCTTTAAACTTTGGAATCGTAACCATAATAACATTTCTAAGCAAACAGTCAAAAAATGAGCACAAATGTAATGAGTTATCAAGAATGAAGTCTTATTGCTGAACTATAAATTTAAAATTGCTAAATCCTATCAATTTTAAGAGTTTCGCCTTGGAAAAAAATCTATTAAAGTGTGTTGGATTTTAAAATGGTGAAATACTTGATAATTTGATTATTAAAAAAATTTGAGTAAAAAAATAAAAACCTAAAAATAATACGAAAACCGCTTTTTCGCTCACATTCAGTTCAAATATTTCTCTCTCGCACGTCGAAGTGCAATAGCATATGTCATGTTATTTTTTTATTCGAAAATTTTCAATAATCAAATTATTAAGCATTTTTCCCATAAAATTTGCATTTTACTGGATCTGCTTGCTACCTGACTGTCCCTTCTTAAACGCGCATTGGTCAAAAAGGAAATGAAGACAAGTTTTAGAAACATAAAAATAAAAACATATTTCTATAAATAGAAACTAGGAATTTCACTGAGCATAATTCCCTATATACAATATAGTATAGATTTAAAAACAATCTTTAAAAGCAAAGGATAAAAGATATATGACCAGACATAACATTGATTTTTATGAGGTCGATATTAGGAGAAAACCGTCAATGTTTGAAAATTCATAACAAAAGTATTTTCTTTCGTTGGTATAGTGTTTTTGATTTTGGGCACTCGTGCATGGTTTGCGAGACCTTAATATAATTTTTAGCAACCATATTTAATTGTTTTATAAGATGTATTGTTAATTTTAAATCAGATTCAACAGTTGTTTTATATAACTTATGTAAAAGCTTATATGTGGATGGGGTTAAAGGATCAACTGAAGCTTTACACTAGCAAAGGCGCAAATAATAAAACATAAAATAAACAAAAATGTGAATTCAGTTAAAAAAATTTTCACAAAAAATAAATTAAATTAAAAGTTATTTCAACTGTGCTGATGAATATTTTGCACTATACCTTATCAAGATTGTGTACAGTGTAAAAATTGTAAACATAAAATTTAAATTTTAAATTACGTAAAATTTCTTTAAAATTAAAAATAAGATATTGAACCTAATGCTTATGGCCTTTCAATATACCCCACCCATGAGGTGAAAAGGACCAGGTGACAAATTTGTGAAAAACAGCAAGAAAACACATTTCTTCGGTGATGTATTTGCATGTGACGATATGTTTTATGAATAAGCTTGGTGTTTTACTGAACATAGTCAGATAGTTATTTGATATGTGTTATATTTTTATTTATTATTCAATAGACAATCAGAATACATTATTTCTATAAGTCTATTTGATTTTTTTTTATTCATATTTGATGGCATTTAGTAATTAATCTGAGACTTAATAAAGGTATAACGTTTTTAGAGAACCACTCATTGGTACGTTTTCTAATTTATAAAAATATGTACTAAATTTGATGATAATGGAAATAAACAGATAATTAATAATAGCATAAAGTGTAAATAATAATAATAATAATAATATTAATAATAAAATAATAATAATAGTAAACAACAATTCAAGAAAAAAAGTATAACTAAAGTTTAAAATAAAGTATGATATTATAAGTAAAATATTGTTAATATTGTTAAATATCTATCAATCGTGAGTTAACTCTATTAATGTTGTACGTTTGAGCCTGAAATGACGTGTAGAATTATATAAATCGGCAGCTAGAGGATTGGGATGTCAACTCTTGCTTTATAGTTTTGAACGTGTCTCTTGATTTTTTCAATTAATCATTTTTCAATTGTTAGTATCTTGATGTAGATACCGATTTGGTGTGTAAATCGGAGCGTTTAGAACTTGTCTTAATATTATGTTTTGGTGTCTTTCAATAATTTGCAAGTTACTTTTTTTAGCGGAATCCCATAATTCAATACCGTAAGTCCACACTGGTTTAAGGGCAGTTTTGTATAAGCCCTATGCGATGATGTGATATGTGTTATTTGTTGTAATATTATTAGTTTGGTTTTAATAATGTAATTGTTCAAATTTGATCTTTGTG